AAAAAAAAAAAAAAGTTCTAGATCAGCAGTAAGCAGAGACACAATGACTAATAAGTGTCGCCTGTGCTAGCGTCTCGCGAATTGGCGGTACCTCGTGGTTGATCTAAGTAAGTCGTTAGTTGTAAACCTCATGGAGTGAAATGGGCACCGTAGGGAGGATTCTGACGCACGAGAAACCGATAACGGGTGTCTCGGTGCCGGATGGTTACATATCAAGTTCCTAACAAAACTATATATTTGTAGCCGTTGCGGTCGCCTTCTGTGCCCAGCCTCCTCTTTGGCTAGCCTCACTTTTCAAATTCCTCTTTAAGCCCTTAGTGATGCTTGTGCCCGAGAAACCCCTACTCTAAAGAGGAGGCTTTGTCGTAGAGTGCGTTGACTGACTCAGCATGGTTATCGCATGTATATAGCAAGGGGCACATCCCACCTGTCAACCTTGAAGCCTTCTTCAAGGGTTGACACCTGTATATATAGGCTAGTTATCTATCATCTATTGATCCCAGGTATCGCATTCACCCTTCAGTTAGATCGCTGGTCTGATACCAAATCTATTCGCCAAATCTACTCACTAAATCTGCTCGCCAAATCTACTTATAAATACCCAATTGCGACGAATATGATAAACGTGGTGAAGTACACCAAGTTCTTAGCGCAGAAGGGTTGAACGGTAAAAGCGTGTGGCAATATCGGGGCTAAAGGAAATCGAGAAGATAGCCACAGGTTTGTCGTTGTATCCCTAATGTTTTCAAACCCATATGGTTATTTATATTATATACGGCTGCAGAATCCCCATCCGGTCCTTCGCTTACAGCTTGGTAATACGTTCGTTCATTTGCTCGCTGGCAGGTGGCTCGTGACAGCACATAAAAGAGGCTGTCCGCAGTCTATGGATGGAGGATAACTTGTGTCCTCGGCGCAAGAAATGATCCCAAGCGGTCGTGTGTACCGACGTGCTGGCTATCTAAAGAGATGGCGCTAGGTTTGAACCGAGATTTTGGCCACGGTTGATGAAGCCATCACGGAGATGGTAGCCAGGGCCTCGGAAAATCTGATTTAGGGAGCCGGGGAAATGAGCCGGTGAATGTTCAAATAGGGCAGGCCGCGAATCCGAGGAGTCCAAGGTCCTGTAAAGGAAACAAATACATCTTTTCTGCCCGCCTTGCTGCGTCAGTGTTCACAGATAGAGGAGATCAATTTCGACTGGTCAACTGTGGATCACGAAACTGGGAAGACACGAGTGTCAGCGACATACGATCATTTCACAGCCCCTCGGCTACGCACGTTGGACGTCTCAGACTTGCAAAGAGAAGAAACGGATTGCCCGTCGAATGAATCGACCGGGGGAACGTTATGATCATCAACAGCTTTCCTACGATGTATACGTTGAAATACGCAGGAAGGCTGGCAGCTCAGCTGCGCCAAGCTATAATCAAGTTCAACATCTTGCCAGCCGTCAATCTGCTGGCAGGACCGGTCATTGTAGCGTGTGGAGAACTTAAGTTTCGGGATGCCGCTTGGGGAGCCAGCCACGACCCTCCACGTCCGCTGTTCAGCAGAAGCGTCGATGCTTTCCGGGATAACAGATACGGAGGGGTGTTTCTAGTAGATGATGCGACTCCCCAAATGAGGAAGCGCTGGGCCAAGGCCGCCGAAAAAAATCTCGAAAAGAGGCGAGCCTCCATTTGGGCCCGAAACATATTACTGCGACGTTATCTGACTAACGAGTACTGTAGAACCGGGCTTTGTAGAGCCGATTTGCGAGCATCGTTCGACACTTCCGATGGAATGTACACAAGCGGACGGAGGATGCAAGCGCCTTCGTCTCCTTACAAGGACACTCCGAGAGACTTTGCTGCTAACGGACCGAGAGACACCGGTGTGGTGGCTTCGATAGCTCATAACTTTGGAAAAGACATATGTGTCATCACCTTGTTGTCGCCGCTGCCCATGAAGATTTTACCCGGCGCGGGAATCGACCCGCACTCAAATGAGAAGAAATCGTGACTTGGGTCGTGGCCCCAAGATTTGCCTCAGCTTGAACAGTATCCGCTCGAATATTGTGCGGCAAGTGTCTTGTTTCAGGGCTTAGTTCTTCCCGGTTGTGAGACGCTCTCGTACTAGAACTTCTTCGCTAGTGTATGGGATCCGTGCCTTTGGCGCGCGGCGTGCCCAACTTTGCCGGTCAGAAAACTGCACCAGCTTGGGCAGATAATCCCCGAAATCGCAACCAGAAAGTGGAAGCGGCGTCGGCGGTGGGCATAAGGTCGCCGACGAGTCGGAATTGGGCCCCCATGTTGTTCAATGACCCTGGCGACGTTTTCGATACTTTTTCTAGTGCCTCTAAAATCACGGTTGAGTGCCCCTCCAGAGGCCGACGTATCATGATGTCGTACAGGCTGATTTCACTTTCTGTCCGAGCGCCACCTTGCTGGGTCGGCGCAGCGGGTATTGTCTTGGACCTAAGACAAACCCCTTTCAGGGCCTCGAGGAGGACGTGGGCGGTACCACCCGGGCCGTCAGGACGTTCGTCGAGGTCGAGCCGGGCCGCGGCCGCCAGCGAGTTGATGTTTGCCGCGATCTGGATGACGGTGGATCGGATGTCCTCGGGGGACCAGGCCGGTGCCGCCAAAAGGTGTTGGGTTGCATCAAGCACCTCGTCGTAGCGGTCGAACTCGTGTTGGAACCGTCTCTGGAGTTTCTCGACGAACAACTTGGTTCGCAGTTTCATCGGAAGACACTTGTTGAGGAGGGCCCAGCCGTTGGGGTCGTGAACCATCCACGTCATTATCGTCCGTGGCAGATCTCCGGTGATTGTCCATTCCGAACTGGGTCTCTTGGCTTGGCCCACGGTGATGCGTTTGTAAGTATCCGGACAGAATTCTGAGGGGAGGTCATTCCGGTCGAAGGAGGAAACGATGTCTCGCGCGTCTCTCTTTCTTTGCCCAAAGGGTGTCGAGTCGAAATCTGGGACAAGCGGCAACGGAGTTGCCGGTGATGATTCGGATGAGACTGACATGGTAAGAATGAATGCGGTGTATGTTATAGGACCAAAAGATAGACTTACAGCCTGATGTATCTAAAGCGCTCGGAAGGAGTATGAGGATACTTATGTTCGATAAGATGGAGGCGTAATGAGCAGCAGGGGGACGAGCGAGGCCAGTTCCTCAACTCGCAGGTGACGAGGGCTGGTACCAGAATAGCATAGGAAGTGTGCCTTTCGGGGGGACCTTTGCAAGGCAGATTGAGAGAAGAGAGAATAACGGTTCCCACGAGGTTCTGAGAATACACTAGAGAAACATCACCGTCCCTAAGCGACTACGATCTAACATATGGTGAGGTGAAACGGCGACGGCATATCACGTGATCGACTCTGAACGTGGCTTAGCCGGCCGCCCAAGAGGTCGCCGTTGCGGCCGCAGATTGAACTGCGGCTGAACGAGGAGGCAGAAGGGCCTCACCGATCCCTATCTTGGTTCGGATTCGTTCTGTCATCTCAACGTGGTGCCCGTGCTCAGGGTGTGCGACATACGCGAGGCAAATGCGCGCTTTGCAAAAGGACTAGGATGGCCATGATATGGCGCAAAAGACCTAGGCGACCACTCGGGAGTACTCGTGTCGCACCCCTCGATTGCGCTTGTACCACTAACCCCAAGGCTACGCAGGAGGAGCCGGGGCTGAATCAATGCTCGCGTATGACAAGGTATGGCGCCAAGTCTCGTCGCTCCATGATGTCCCCAGTCATAGTTGCAGGAGACTGACTGATACGCTCGGAGAGATTCTATTGCAGGGAGAGAAGCTGAAACCGGTAGCATTCTCGGTGAGTGATTGGTGCCAATGGTCGTGGCCGCCGACATTGGCGTGGAGGCCCTTAGGTACCACACTTGCCTTTCATGAACTTTTTACGACCAGTTCGAACAGACCAAACACACTCAGGTTGTGTCCCCCCCCCC